CTTATGAAAAATTCTTAACAAACTGACCAACGTTTATTCAAAAAGCAAGTTAAATATGATGTTACTTTATATTTACACCATCTTGAAAAAGACTTCAAATTAACTTAACTTTCTTCCCACAACAATGTATGTGTTCATAATAGAACTGTCGTGTACAGTATTTTATTTAGTTTTAAATCAACAAACTTTGTTAAGCTTAACATAAAGTACACCGATAGTATTACATGTTAGCAAAAGATAGTTGCATATCTGCTACTTTTGAATTTCTAATTTTCAGGTACCAACATATTTCGCTAGGCCTAATAGAAAGAATTTTTTCTTAGTTGATGAATATGTCTGTCTCCATTAAGCATATGTTTCTATTTCATACATGGTAGTATAATGTTCTTAGTGGAGGAAGAGTATAAACCGGTTTCAGTTTATACAAATAATGGTAGTCGCGGAAACTTTTGCAACAACATAACTAGTAACAACATAAGAAATATTTACCAAAAGACTAAGAAATACGATTTTAGAATATGGAGGAATATTTGCAACAACATAACCAGCAAAATATAAGAAATATTTACCTTACTGACGGAGGAAATACGGCAGAGAGACGGAGGGAGACGTGGCCAGACGTAGGGAGCACAACGGAGGGAGACACGGTCGGAGAGACGGAGATACGACGGTCAGACGGAGGGAGTAGGGTTCACTATTGAGACAGGGAGATAAACCGTACATGCAAGAGAGAGAGAGAGAGAGAGAGAGAGAGAGAGAGAGAGAGAGAGAGAGAGAGAGAGAGAGAGAGAGAGAGAGAGAGAGAGAGAGAGAGAGAGAGAGAGAGAGAGAGAGAGAGAGAGAGAGAGAGAGAGAGAGAGAGAGAGAGAGAGAGAGAGAGAAGTACTGCAGTTCATGAGTCTGAAATGAAAATACAGTTTAATTTTTAAAATATTAAATATCTATAGCAGCGCTTTTGTTAATAATTCTTTGCACATCTTTCTACAATAATACCCCTCTTGGCCAATTCCACTCTCATAGGCAACTTTTTGAGAATTAACTGCCAACCAAAAATGAGAATTTTGCTAGGAATTTCGGTCTTTCATAACTGATCAAGCGCAAAACAAAACGGTCTCCACAAAACAAAACGGCCTTCTTCATAAGGCTTAGGCTTCAGCCCGTTCAAAATGAAAAACAACTCGTCTAACAACAAAGCATCATCTCCATCCAAAGTCACCCCATTGAAGTCAATGTCCCATACCCAAGAGCCATTAAACCAATATCCCACCTCAACCACTTTGGAACAAGTCAAGTGGCTCATCATATGTAAAGAAGGAAATAAACCTTCAAAGGACGAGGAACCACAATAATGATGTCTCTAACAGTCCAACGTTTTACCATTTTCTAGCTTGCAAGAAATAGATGAAGAAAACCAATTAGAATGAGATGCATTATCAATTGGATCCCTTATGACAAATAAATCTCTCCACCACAAAGAAGATTTCTTTGATGATGTCGAACCCCCCCAAAATTGCACACTTAACATCACTATACTGACACGAGAATAAATCGGCCCACGAGGAAGGTTCATCTTTTAAAATCCTCCATTTCCACTTACTAAGAAAAGCAAGATTGAACAAACAACAATGTATAACCCCAAAACCACCTTCCGTCTTGCTTTGCATTTCTCATATAATACACATGTGATATTTTTCCTTATAAAGTTGCAGAAGCTCAAGAATAATTTATGCACACCATCTTTGAATTCAAAAGCTAGATTTTAAGGAAAACACCTTTCTTGAAATACAAACAAGAATATTTGTTTACTGTTATTCTATTTCTTTTCTATGAATCCCAATAACAACAGTTTATGTTTTAATTTCTTTAAAAGTGGTGTCTTTTTTTATTTTATTTTTTATTTTTAAATTAATGATATATTCCTTCGATTATATATTTAATACCTGAGAGATTATATTATCAGGTTTTACTATAAAAGCACTCGTTAATCATATTTTATCCTAAACCTAACTTATATGTAACCACTCCAAACTTGTATACATCATAATTTGTGATGGATTGCAATACAGAAAAAATCTTCAATGTTCTTTCATCTTGAACAAAACATTTTTTATACTCTTGCAGTCCATCCTAACATAATGGTGTTGATGTTTTTTAGAATAATCTTTCTATGTTGTCAATAAAAAAAATTCTTTAATTTATTGTTTTTCTCGGTTGACAATATTGAGAAATTTATTTCTAAACATAATTATCTTGTTCTCTTTCATCTGAAAGTATTTGCCATGAAAACATTTGCTTAAGATAATTAAATCTCTCTGGGATGGATTGCAAGTGCAGAGAAAAAGAACTTTCTCTCGGTAGGAACAAATAAGTTATCAGAAATTTGAAATGATTTGTTGTTCTTCAGGAATCTATTGTCAATATTCGGATTTTTTTAAACAATTTATTTTAATATTTTGTGTAAATAATGTAGTTAAAAAAAGTTTTTTCCCTCAGTTTTTTTTACAGAAACTGAGAGGTATGTGACGCTTGGGATGAAATGTATTTTATTGCATTTTATATTTAAAAAGAAATACATTTTACCTCAATTTTGAGTAATAACCGAGAGAAAATATAAGCGTGTTTATTGAGTTTTTTCACGGTCCCTAAACAAATCTTTGTCCTTCATTTAATGAATATCAACGCTCTAGACACTACCGGTAGTGATTTGCGTGAAACCTAAAATCTCATTATAAAAGCATTCTGAATATTAAAAGGATAATGAAACATTTGACATGAAAACTTTGAAACTTAAAAAGTGTTTATTTTATTTGGAAAAAAATTTCTATGATGGATTGCAAGAGTAGAAAATTATTTGGGTTCAAGGTATGTATTCTTAAATAATCATATAATTGAATAGTTATTTTATTTATCTAACTGTTTTTTGTTTTATATCAGAAACAAATGAATGTAAAAAAGTCATAGAGAATATTTTGCATCCAAGATTTGGTCTTCCTCAAGATCAATGAAACGAGGATCCCCAACATTTGTGATCCGAGGAAAAATATAAGCGTGATTATTAAGTTCATTCATCGTCCTTAAACAAATATTTTTCGTCCATTTAGTGAGTATCAGCGTTCAAGCCACTACCATTAGTGATCCGCGTGAAATTTAAAATAGTCATAATAAGAGCATTATGAATATTAAAAGTTTATAATGAAACATTTTATATGAAAATATAAGTGAGTGAAAATATAAGCATGTTTATTGAGTTTATTCACCGTCTTTAAATAAATCTTTGTCGTTTATTTAATGAATATTAATTGGATTTAGAATTTGTTATATATTTTTATTTAATATTTTGTGTAAATAATGTAATATCTGTATAAACAATATAGTTTATAAACAAATTAATTTATTAATATTCTGTGCAAATAATGTAATAATATTTTATAAAAGATTTAATACCTTTTTTTAGTTTCACCTTAGTCTCTGGATTCATTTTGCTCTCTTAATTTTAAAAAGATCCATACACTACAAAAAAAAAATGATAATTTACCGCGACTTTTTTGCAGCGACTCAATTTATTGTAAATAACATACATATAATAACAACAATTAATTTAAATCATTGTAATAAGTTATTTTTTTTTTCTGACAATCTTATTATCGTTGGGAAAAATAGCCTGTTGCAACAATAATTATTGTAGCTGGAAATAATACAACTTATTAATATGCGTATAGCAATTACCAATATAAGCCGTTAAAATAACTTAATCTTTCTCACAAATTTCACATTTTTGTTGAGAAAAATAAATTATCTCTAATAATAACTATTATTGTTGTTGAAAATAATACAATATTTTTATATATGTATCACATTGACAAATTTAAATTATTGTAATAAATTATTTTATCGCAATAATAATTATTACAATGACTAATATAAGTTGTCGTTATAAATTTCTCTCTAAAGTATCACATTATTTCTATATAAATTGACTTAATCCCGACAACAATTATTGTGGTTGAAAATAATATTTGTTTTTATATAAATATAACATCGACTAATTTAAATTATCATTATTGTTTGAAAAATTATTTGTTTCAAAAAAAAATTTGTTTTGTTTAATTTTTTTATTCTCAAGTACACTTGTTTTATGTGTTAAGTGTGTTAAACAATATATAAAATAAAGAATGTTTCCATATATTTTAAATATAATTATTTCTAATCAATATATATATATATATATATATATATATATATATATATATATATATATATATATATATATATATATATATATATATATATATATATATATATATATATATATATATATATATATATATATATATATATATATATATATATATATATATATATATATATATATATATATAATTCATTAGAGTCCAATTGTTTTATAAAAGAAAGTTAAACTTAACATTTGCTTCACAGTCTTAAAAAGAGAACATTTCTATTTCTGTAAATAAATTATAAAGAAGGAAGATATTAAATTATATTTAAACTATTTGAGTTTATTAAATATTTCAATAAATTGTTTAAATTAAACTTTAATATTAATAAATTTAATCATTGTTATTGTTATCGGTGGAGTTAATGTAATTTAATTCTAAAAGATAATTGACTTAATACCTATTTCAAAATCTTTTTATTTAAAAAAAAATATTAGTCAATTAATAATAATTACTGTTGAAGATAATACAACTTTTTTTAATTCAAATTCAATTATTTGTTTCTTTCTCTCATTTCCTTGCAAACTTAATGTGATTTAATGTCATGACAAAAAAAAACATAACTTGATGATATTTAATAGGATCAATAGTGATTAATTCTCAATATATCTAAAAAAATGAAACGATGAACAAAACAAAATATCTATCATCTCGTAGTTTCCGTTCTTTTTTGTTAGTCCAATAATATTATAACCATGATGACGATGATAATAATGTGTTGAGTTTACTCAAAATTGATAAACCTCAAAAATAATCATAGAAATAATGGCAATTATCTTCCACTACAAAACTATACTCTTGTCTTTATTTTCTCTATTATGCTTTGCCTTCACTTCTTCTTATATCATACCCAAATTTCCTTCTTCACTAGTGAGTCCAGAAGTACAACAACTTTCTGCTTCATCTCAAAATGGTTTCTATAGAACAAAATTCTTCACACAAATACTTGATCACTTCAATTACAATCCACAAAGCTATCAAACTTTTCAACAAAGGTATCTCATCAATGATACTTATTGGGGAGGTGCCAAAAAGAAAGCTCCAATCTTTGTCTACATGGGTAATGAAGGAGACATAGAATGGTTCACACAAAACACTGGCTTTATGTTTGAAATAGCACCATATTTCAATGCCCTCTTGGTTTTTATTGAGGTAAACAGTTAATTATTTTTTATTAATATTCCGACATGAAATCTTATTTATCCATAATTTTATTCTAAAAAATTTGAGATTTTATGTTAAAGTTTATCTTACACATCCTCAAAACGGTTCTGGTTAAACTGGTAACTAACTTTTAATATGCAACTTTTCTAAATTGTAGCATAGATACTATGGAAAATCAATACCATTCGGAGGAAATGAAGAGGTTGCAAATAGAAATAGCAGCACACTTGGATATATGAGCTCCACACAGGCATTAGCTGATTATGCAACTCTCATTATCGATCTCAAGAACAATTTGTCAGCAACTGATTCGCCTGTTATCGTATTTGGAGGATCATACGGAGGAAGTATATATCAAATTTTTAATTTTTTTTAAATAGTTTTCATCTTAAATTTTTATATATAATTCAATTCAATCACATAGTTAAAATTGGATGATTTTGTATTTCAGTGCTAGCTGCATGGTTTAGGTTGAAGTATCCACACATTGCCATTGGAGCTTTGGCATCATCTGCTCCAATCCTTCAATTTCTTGATTTGGTTTCACCATATACATTCACTAACATTGTAACACAAGACTTCAAGGTAATTTATTATTACTTATCATTCAAAAATATTTAACAATGATATGTTTTTTTTGTTAGTTGCATAAAATATAATTGTATGATTTTTAGAGTGGGAGTGAGAATTGTTACAAAGTGATTAAAGGATCTTGGAAACAAATAGAACATAAAGCCAATACATCAGGAGGAATAGAACAGTTACGGAAATCATTCAAAATATGCGAGTGAGTCTATTTTTAATTTATTAATCTCAATCATTTGTATTGTTTTTTAATTTTATTTTTATATAGTTTAATTGGTGATTTTTTTCGGTTGGAATTACAGGAATAATACAATAAGTGCTAGTGCTTTGAAAAATTGGCTTCGTTCGGCTTTTTATTACACAGCCATGACAGATTATCCAACACCAACAGATTTCATAACTCCCCTGCCAGCTTATCCGGTCAAAAAGGTACAAGAATCGATTTTTTTTTAAGTTTTATTTCTAACCACTATATATTATTCATCACTAAACTTTGACATTGATTCTTTAACAGTGGAATTTTTTATATATTATTGTTGTACCAGATGTGTGAGGCAATTGATAGTATTTCAAGTGGAAACGACACGTTCACCAAATTATATGGTGCAGCTAATGTCTTCTATAACTATACTGGAACTGTTCCATGTTTTGATATTGCTAGTGATTCTGAGGATTCTACTCTTTATCGAGGTGGATGGGATTGGCAGGTATAATTTTATCTGAATTTTCAAAATAATTAAGCATTTAATAATTAACTAATAATATTTAATTAATTTGTAGGCATGTACTGAAATGATATTGCCCCTAGGTGGGAACAATGAAGAGAGCATATTTCCAGCTTACAAATGGGATTTGGAAGACACAATTTCTTATTGCAAAAATGAATATGACATAGTGCCAAGACCCCATTGGATTATTACTGAGTTTGGTGGTAAAGTGAGTAATCAATATTATAAATGTTTATTAGTTTCAAATGCATTATTATTATTATTATTTATTAATGAAATATTCAATTTTTCTTGCATGTAGGATATTGGAAGAGTACTAAAAAGGTTTGGGAGTAACATCATATTTTTCAATGGTTTAAGAGACCCATGGAGTGGTGGAGGGTATATAACATTTACAAATTTTTTATATTATTGGGATAATTTCACTAAATTTGTAGGAGATATTATGACACTAGCTAGCTAATTTGATGAATGCAGGGTATTGAAGAATATATCAAAAACTTTAATTGCTATAGTTGCAAAAGAAGGTTAGTTTGGAAATAAATTGATATAATATATTTTGCTTGTTAGTTTATTTATATATTTCACTTTAGGGTAATTTTATGTGTTTTGTTTTATAGGAGCTCATCATGTAGACTTGAGGTTTTCAACTAAAGAAGATCCAGAATGGCTAAAGAATGTAAGGAAACAAGAAGTAAAGATCATTGCAACTTGGATAACACAATATTTTCAAGACCTACTATACTGATGACAAACGAATTGGACATTATACATATTATCTAGATTAAAAGTACTAATATAAATAAGTTACTCATAAAAATATTGTTTTGTTTTGGATTATGAGGTCGAATTTTATTTATGGCATTATTGCTTAATTAATAAGAGAAAGGATAAGAATACTCTCTTTATAACACTTTCTCTACGTTCGGTACAGCAATTTTTTCTCTTTAACAAAGACTTGAAAGTGTAATTAAAATTGTGATAAACGTTGCTTAAAAGAATAGAGAAAGATTTTCAGTTGTCTTTTTATGAAAATGTTGTCTATTATTTTAAGAAAAGTTTATTTTTCTCTTTTATGCCACAATTTTCTAAAAGATCACATAAAATACAGGAAAATAGAGAGAAGACTTTTACAATGTTGTTAAAAAATGCAACGACTACAAAACATTTCTTAAAAGTAGTAGAGTGAGAACATTCTAAGGGGACGATTTTTAAATGCTATCATATTTAATAACAATATTTACAAATTATTCTCTAAAAGTAAAATAGAGAGAAGACTTCGTAAATATATTTACAAGTTACAAGAATACTTTTTACCATATTTTTTATTAAATAAACAATTCAAACAATAATTACATCAAACATAAATTGCATATATCATAAAAATTGTGTTAATAAAATCTTCAAAAATTAACTCAAATATACACAATAAATATAAAAATGTCTAACATTACTTAATACTACAAGTGTAACACTTATAAGTCTAAATCTAGCAAAATGACAAAATACATACATAGTTTCTTTATATTTAACGTTTAGGTAGAAGCCTAACACAATAACATCCAACTCATTTATTTTTGTCAAACGCATCGTCGTCTTCATCATCCTCTTCATCACTTATGTCATTGATGGGTCATATTCTGCAAGTGCACATAATCAATCGTAGTTTTAAAAGATATTGAACATGTTGCGATAAGAATCGGATATCAAGTTATTAATTAACTTGAATCACAAATCATGAAGTTCACCACCGAACTTTGATTTATCCAAAGAAAAGGGTAAAGATCGAAAGAAAATCCTAAGTGCGCTATGTAACAACATAGCTAAGAGATCTAAGGTTCGGGGGTTGATTATACCTAGGAAAGGAGTTAACAACATAAGTATCTGTAGTACTATACAGGAAACTCTTGTTAGTATTTATGTTATGCTAAAGTTTGCTTGCTAAGGTTAGTGCTAAGGTAAAGACCTAGGGTATATACATTAAGTATGCTCGCCAAGACGTTGCATCTCGTGCCTACGTATCCTGACTAGGATGGAATCAGAGCAACTGTAGTTCTCCTAATTACCAGGGATGATGAACTCTTGATAACGATCAAGGTTTCAGAGGGGAAATAAGTATCCATAACCATGATACTTACACAGAGTTAACCAACTCTCTAAGTATAAGTTGAAAATCCTAACTAGGATTGACTTTAATCAAAGTCAAAGGGAAAAGTGAGTATCCATAACCATGATACTCACATAGAGTTTACCAACTCTAAACGTAATTCTAAGTTGCAAAAACAATTGGTTCTAACCAGACCAAAAGGAGGGAGTTAAGTGTTAGTTGTTAGAGGGTTCGACAAGATATCACATCTTGTGCCTATGTATCCTGACTAGAAAAGGAAATCAGAGTCTCCGTAATTCGGCCTAACTAGGGGAGAGGAACTCTTGACTGTGGTCAAGGTTCTAGAGGGGAAGTAAGTATTCATAACCATGATACTTACACAGAGTTAACCAACTCAGTAAGTCTAAGTTGAAAAGGTTAATGACTCTAACAAGGTCAAAAGGGGAAGGTAAGTGTTAATAACAATAAGTTAGTAGTTAAATAAATTTAACTGACTGAATAAAATCTAAATGATTCTAAACAAATAAATCATAAACACAAATCGAAATGATTAATTTAAGGACTAACTAAGAAAATATTTTGAAGTTTTTAATTTAATAACTAAACTAATTAATCTAATAATTAATATTAACGAAATATTAAATCAAACCAAAAAAATATTTTCCTAAATTAAAATCACTAAATAAGATAAAAACAAACATTAACAATATATTAAAAATAATAATTAAGATGAAAACAATAAATTAAACCAATAACTATCGAGAAAAAAAAAGGTGAAGAAAATAAAAGAAAAGACACATGGGCCAAGAATGCACCAACCAAGAGGTCCAGAAAGTCTCGCCCACAAGACTGGGCGGGTTAAGTGAAACATAGAGCAGGTCACTCCATTGTGACCCAATTGGATTGTTAATAAGGCAAACCCTAATTACAGGATTTGGATCTTCTACTTTTTTATATATCCTGCCATCTCTCATGTTTCTAATCTAACGGTTCAGAATTTATAATGAATAATTAAATAAAAAAAGTCATTTAGTAGGAGAGAGAAATAGATAAGTAATTTGTCTTTGTTATTTTTGGAATTTCTTCAACATTTTTACGTGAAAGTTTTTTAGAATTTCTTCTTCATCTAAAAATGTCTTAGTATTAAATATTTTTATAATTTCATAAATATTAAATATTTTCATTAATTCAAATTAAAAGTGTCTATTATTTAAATCAAATTAAATAAAATATTAGAATGAGATAGCATCATAATCTCATTTCCTTAAATAAGAATTGCTATTGAAAATAACTTAACAAATTCATCTATTCTGAATCATTTCTTCCTAAATGAAAAATCATTAACAAAATAGTAAAAATCATTAACAAAATAGAATAGATTGTAAAAATAAAACAACAAAATATCTGCAATTTAACAATTACTAATATCTGCAATTTAAAAATAACATAACAGAACTCTCATTTGCTAAATTCAAAAGTAAAAATAAAGTCACAAACACATAATGTATTTAGTGCACAAAGTCACAAGTTACAAACCAGATCGTAAAATCTGCATCATAACAAAAACAACTAGAATTATTTGCATCCAAGGAAGAGCATGGAAAACAAAAATAGTCACTACATCCACACAACCTCAAATGAAAACATTAGCAGGTCATTGTTCAAAATATGTTTTCTTCACTTCTTTACGAATTGTTAAATGTTGTAACATCTCCATGAAGATTTTCCTATAATTAAAGAGACATGTGTTAATAATTTAGTAAAACTATTTGCACCGAATTGACAGTAGAGTTTATGTAATTGTTAAAATTTACCATCAATAATTTAGTAAAACTATTAGCACCGAATTGAGTTAAAGTGTTATTGTTTTCCTGCAAAAAAACATAAAATCATTTAATTACTAAATACTTTTTGGTATAACATACTCAAATTGATATTGGCTTACCATGGCTGGTATGTTGTATGAATTATTGAGCCAAATAGATGCACTTGTATTGGGCACCTCATATTGAACATGTGTTTGTGAATCACCTGTCACTACAACATTTTGAATATACAGCAACACAAAAAAACCATTGCAAAATCCAAAAAGGCCGTTGCCTTTACATATGAGAACGGTTTTCAGGACGTTCTAAACCAAGGCGTTGTTTTAGCCTTTAGGAACGATTATTTATCCAACGGCAACGCCTTGTTCAGAGCCGTTGCTGTAATTTTATATAGAGAACAGTCTAGAACAGCAACAGTTGGACGTCGTTTTCAAATTTAAACCGTTGCAATTGTTGTTTATTTGAATACGACTATTTTATGGAATATAGCAACGGTTCTTAGTCGTAGCCTATTCTAAACCGTTCTAATAGAGACCTAAGTTCATTTTTTCTTCATAGGTTATAGCCACACCTTCTTTACTACAGACACACTTTGTAACTGTTGCAAAAAAAAATTATTTTATTTTATAAACCAAATAAATTTATTTATTTTTTAATAAAATAAATTTTTATTTTATTTTATAAACCTGATAATAACATCATTCACAATTTTTTTATATAATAATATTCAAATACAAAACATCTTCAAATTGAAAATGATCCAACAAAACATTTAAAAAAAAAAACATCTTCAATTTTTTTATAAACCTGATTTTGCATATCGTAATGTCAACAAAACATCTTCAAATTACATATTGTAATGTCAACAAAACATCTTCAAATTACATATCGATCCCAATGTCAATCATCATTCATAGTCAAAATAACATCTTTAATCTATAAAATTAAACTTAAACATCTACATCTCTACATCTACGTTTCTTCATCTTCAAATTCAAAATCTTCATTGATATTATCATTCATGACCTGCAAAATAAAAATAATATAACTTAAATAAGATTATTATTTGATGACTAACTTCCTACATACACACACATATCTATACACACACATATCCAACACTTTGAATCCATACATACACATTTGCAATATACAAACCAACCATCCAATTTCATTCATATCACTTTAACACACCAATACACTATTTTCCTAACTCTTTTCCAATTTCTAACATACATAACAGTACTTATTAATATGTTTCATTCATAACAATACTTAATTGTTTCATTCACTAACTATTAATTGTTTCACTCACCTCTTTTCCAAATAATATGTTTCATTCATAACAGTACTTATTAATTTATATGTTAACTAACTACCAGTAACAGTTCAATACAGTTCAATACTTACTAAACAGTACTTATTAGCATAACTTATTAATTACCATTTACTGTGATGGGCTAACCACCAGTACCAGTAATATAGTTCAATAGTAACAGTTCAATACTATCTACCAGTTCAATATTAATTAGCATAACTTATTAATATGTTAGCTAATTCTACCAATTCAATATTACTAACAGTACTTATTAATTAGCATAACTTATTAATATGTTAGCTAATTCCACCAGTTCAATACTATCTACCAGTTCCTAACTCTTTTCCAATTTCTAACAGTTCTAACAATTAGCAACTAGATTTACTAACAGTATAACAGTATACAAAATCTTTATTGAGATTTAATTGTTCCATCTCACCATCATCATACAAAATCTATTGAATAGTCATAGGGAAAATTAACAAACATACTTAGCT